AGTTGGAAATTCTTCGTGTTCATCTGCTTTTACAAGAAGCTACTAGGAGCAAGTGCATCGCTTCTAGTAACAAGTGCCTTACTAGTAGTAACAATGTTTGCTATTGGAAACAACTAGCTTCTTGTTTCTACTAGCTTCTTGTTACTACTAGTAAGGCACTTGTTACTACTAGCGTGGCACCTGTTACTAGCTTCTTCATCGGCTTTTTAGATGGTCAGAACCGACGCTCTGGACGGTCCATTCGAGGCCGCCGCCCGCCCCAAGCAGGCCAGCGGGAAGCTACAGGAGAAGTTGGCCGCGCTGGAGGCTGCTCACAACGCTGGACGTGGAAAGCACTCTTGTAACGAAGACGGATACGCAATTGCCTGAAACACAAAAAGGACCAAGACCTCAATCAATTGTTTCAGTTGATGTTCCTTCCCCCCACCCTCTTTCTCCCAGGAAGTACATTGAACAAATGTCAGGCGGAAAGAAGCGACCAAGAGAAGCGCAGAGAAGTAGAGACGAAGGAGGCCACTCTTGTAGCAACTACCTAAAAGTGATGGCCTCCACCCTAATAGCTTCTTGCTAAACCTACTATACTAGTACTAATGCCCTTGTTTGTAGTAGCGATGCCCTTGTTACTAGTAGCGATGGCCTCCAACCTAGAGACCAAGGAGGCCTCCACGTAGTAGCGTCCTTGTTACTAGTAGTGATGCCAGGAGCCCCTAGTGGCGTCCTTGCTCCTACCCCCCCCCCGCGCTCGCGCGCGCGCGCGCGTGCGCGCGTCCTTGTAGCTTCTTGTTTTAATTTTAACTAACTTCTAACTAAACTTAATTCTATGTTGCTTTTATTTTATATATATATGTATTTCTTGTTTCTAATAGCTTCTTGCTCCTAGTAGTAAGGCCAGGAGCCCCTAGTAGCTTCTTGTTGCTAATAGCGATGGCCTTTGATGCCTTTGCCGAAAGCCGAAGCGTGCTTGACCAAGGCGAGAGAGAAGTTAAAAGCAGCAGAGGCGAGGGTCGGCTCAATCGAGGTGTTCAGTTGGTGTAGGCGGTACAGACTTTTCCGCACCCAAATCTGTGCACAATCTTCGTGACTTGTGTTTTGGTATGGGAGGTCCACTAGTATACAGAAAGGGTCACCATGTCCCATGGCATTCAACGAGTTTGCACAGTCTTGAAACATGTTCTATCTCTGCGCAATTCTGCTGCAGACAATCCAAACAAGCCACTTGGTACCAGGTCCCGACACACACGTCAGAGGCAGCCACTGCAGAAGCACAAGCTCATCTTCA